CAAGACCCACACCTGATCCAATGTCTTGTGGGTGGGGTGGGCGCGGGCGGGTCTGGGTCTGGGTACCCGTTGCTCATCTCTGCAGTGGGAATCCAGAAGAAGAGGTCTGGGAAGAGTTGTGGGAGTCCACTAGAAGAGGTGTATGAATCCACTAGAGGTGTGGGAACCCACTACAAGAGGTCTGAGAAGAGGTGTGGGAATTCAAAGAGGTGAGGGAATGCAGTTTAGAGGAAACGTGGGAATCCAATAGATAATAAGCCAGATAAAGGAAAAGAGAAACGAGAGGAGTAAGAAGCAGCAGAAAGGAGGAGTAGTGAGGGGAGGAGATAGGTGAGCAAAGGAAGAGGTGATACAAAAAGAAGATTACAATTTTGGAACCATCATCTTTTGAAGACAGGAAGAAGATTCAGCCTCTTCATCACCTCTGACGTCAGCTTACCATAGAGAACTTATTTAATATGTCTCAATCGGCGACTCTCAAAAGCAGATTCATTCCCATCATGGCCTCAGAGGTTGGGTACCTCGAAGCTTATTTATCACGACTTTTACGGATAACATGCATCACTGAAGCATGGGCGTTAAAAGTGGAAAGAGCAATAGGGAGAAGCGAGACGACAGTCTCGACCTCAGGGAGCAAGGGTGATTCAACGAACGGAGCTGGGGAGAGATGTGAGGGGACAACCTCTGTTAAATGTCGTAAACGGTAATGAAGCACAAATGCACAAAGGATAAGTGGGGAGAGAGGAGAGAGGAGAGAGGCGCAGAGAAGTACGGGTGGGTGGAGCCGAAAGATGCCGATTCCCCCTCGCCCTTCTTCATTTTTTCAAGACTGGAGCCAGACTCGATCCCGTAACCTCTGAGGTCCAGCACCATGGAACTCATCCACCGCTTGGCCTTCGCGGAAAAAGCGGAAGGTCGGTGTGTATCGAACATTTTCTGAATTCTTGCTACACTTGTCAACGTCCACAATGACAAACATTGGTGCTGGGAAGTCATTGCTGCACTTGTAGAAGGCGGGAAGCATGCCCTGACATGCCTGGCACCATGGCGCGCCATAGTTCACAACCACTGGCCGCTTGCCAGCTGTCGATAGCACGTGCTCAAGCTCCTCGTCGGTGCCTACTTCTATCAAATTACCATGTTTACTCTTCATCCCTGGCCACTGCTTTGTTTTCATAGACATTGTAGAAGCTTTGCTTGTCGCCGCAATCTTCTTCGCGGAAGACATGTGCGCTGCCATTTTTTGTAACAGAAAGTCTCTTCCTCAGCCTGTTGACCCCTGTCCCCCAGCCCGTTTCCCCCCTCCCCCTCCCTATCTGTCTTTCTGTCGTTCGCTCTCTGTCGCTCAATACAATCAAAGATTGCTAGCCTACCCCTGTCTCTTATACACATCTAGAT